AAAAAAAAAAAAAAAAAAAAAAAAAAAAATAGAAATAGCTGAAGTAAGAGTAAAATGAAAACCCAAAGTGAGAGTATGAAAAAACTCCATGAGAATGTTTTCTTGGTATGTGTACTTGTGTTCACAGCAACCAACAAAGAATAGGAGGGGTGAGGGATCTGCCCACAGGATCATGTCCCTCTGAAGATATTTAGAACCACTAATATAATCTTTACCAAAAGTTGGCTACGTTCTTACCTAAATTTTTGCTCCTAATGGTTGTGTCAATATCCTGAATGAAAACAATCAGATAAATGCCCGAGATGTTGCTTGTGGAAAAGAGCACCAAATAGCATTATTGAGCTAAACATCAAGAATAAAAAGATCTCTAAAAGTTCAACGTTATCACTAATTTGAGGCTAGAAATCCTATAGTAGCTCTCAAACTGAACAGGCTGAGAGCCATGCTGGATGTGACCTCGGCTCTTTAAGCTGGGCTTCCCCGGCCCTGCATGTGCATCTCCAGTCCTTCGGGGAGAGACCCAGGTCCCTACCTGGTGGTAAGCATTGTAGTCCATGTTGCCTGGGAGGGGGAACCCTGGGGCCAGGGACAGCTCTCCGTCCAGCATTTCTGGTTTGATGAATTCCTCCAGGTAGGTCCTGCAGAGTCTCCTGTCCCACTCGTCAGTGATATGGCCTCCGTACATGATCTCAGCAAAGAGGTAGCGCAAGTCATCATAGGGGACCTGAGAGACGGGAAGGAAGGGAATATCTCCACGCAGGCCTTGCGATGGCCCAATGTGTGGATAGAGCGTGAGCCACAAGATAGGGTGGGTCTTGAGATTAGGAACAATGTCTTATTCATCCAAGCTCCCCTGGTGCCCAGCGGGGTCGGGCACATGAGGGAGCTCAATAAACGCTGGAGTAATTACATCAAAGAGTGAGAAGAGGGCTTCCCTGGTGGTGCAGTGGTTGGGAGTCCGCCTGCCGATGCAGGGGACACGGGTTCGTGCCCCGGTCCGGGAAGATCCCAAGTGCCGCGGAGCGGCTGGGCCCGTGAGCCATGGCCGCTGGGCCTGCGCGTCCGGAGCCTGTGCTCCGCAACGGGAGAGGCCACAACAGTGAGAGGCCCGCGTACCCTTAAAAAAAAAAAAAAAAAAAAGAGTGAGAAGAGGTAAGACGCCAGCACTCTTGCACACATGCCTTCCCTCTTTCACAGTCATTAACTGTGGCAGTGAAGTCAGTCTCTACCTATGGGTCCTTTAATCACACCAGTGTCGAACGGAAGAAAGCGAGGGCATGGGTACTTTTCCCATTTCCTGCCATTAATTAGCATATTAATTAATCGTCTCCTTGGAAAGTTCAGAGTGAATGAAATACAGCACACAAGTTCATGGGTGTTAGAGACAGGGGTGGAAGCCACCTGGAGAAAGCCGCGTGGCCGCGGCAGGTGAAGGGTTGATGTGCTGTGTGGTGGGCTTCCCAGGACCCTGGAACCGGAGGCAGAGGCACTGCTTCTGGGCTGGCTTCATTGTCCCCCAAAGGATGCTGTGTTTGGTCCATGAACCAGAAGAGCCTTATGGCGTACACATGCCCTTAACTGGAAGA